ACACACCCACTTTGAGACAACTAACAGTGAAAAAAGTTTTTGGGTTTTAAATGCAAGCTCTTGTGACACCAGTGAGTGAGTGGTGGCACTGGGCAAGTGGGCATAGTATACGTTGCGAGCCTGACACACAGACGCTTGCAGACAACTAACTGCTATTCAATCTATAACAGTGAAAAAAAATTTTTGTTTTTAAATGCAAGCTATTGTGACACTAGTGAGTGAGTTGTGGCACTGGGCACAGTATCCACTGTGAGCTTGACACACCCCTTTTGAGACAACTAACTGATATTCAATCTATAACAGTGAAAAAAGTTTTTTGGTTTTAAATGCAAGCTATTATGACACCAGATATGAGTGACACTGCGAACTGGCACTGTATCCACTGTGAGTCTGACACACCCGCTTTGAGACAACTAACTGCTATTCAATCTATAACAGTGAAAAAAGTTTTTGGGTTTTAAATGCAAGCTATTGTGACACCAGTGAGTGAGTGAAGGCCCTGGGCACAGTATCCACTGTGAGCCTGACACACTCGCTTTGAGACAACTAACTGCTATTCAATCTATAACAGTTAAAAAAGTTTTTGGGTTTTAAATGCAAGCTATTGTGACACCAGTGAGTGAGTGAAGGCACTGGGCACAGTATCCACTGTGAGCCTGACACACTCGCTTTGAGACAACTAACTGCTATTCAATCTATAACAGTGAAAAAAGTTTTTTGTTTTTAAATGCAAGCTTTAGCTATTATGACACCAGATATGAGTGACACTCAAGGACTGGCACAGTATCCACTGTGAGCCTGACACACACGCTTTGAGACAACTAACTGCTATTCAATCTATAACAGTGAAAAAAGTTTTTGGGTTTTAAATGCAAGCTATTGTGACACCAGTGAGTGAGTGAAGGCACTGGGCACAGTATCCACTGTGAGCCTGACACACTCGCTTTGAGACAACTAACTGCTATTCAATCTATAACAGTTAAAAAAGTTTTTGGGTTTTAAATGCACGATATTGTGACACCAGTGAGTGAGTGGTGGCACTGGGCACAGTATCCACTGTGAGCCTGACACACCCCCTTTGAGACAACTAACTGCTATTCAATCTATAACAGTGAAAACCCTTTTTTTGTTTTTAAAAGCAAGCTATTATGACACCAGATATGAGTGGCACTGTGAACTGGCACAATATCCACTGTGAGCCTGACACACCTGCTTTGAGACAACTAACTGCTATTCAATCTATAACAGTGAAAAAGGTTTTTGGGTTTTAAATGCAAGCTATTGTGACACCAGTGAGTGAGTGTTGGCACTGGGCACAGTATCCACTGTGAGCCTGACACACCCCCTTTGAGACAAGTAACTGCTTTTCAATCTATAACAGTGAAAAAAGTTTTTGGGTTTTAAATGCAAGCTATTGTGACACCAGTGAGTGAGTGGTGGCACTGGGAACAGTATCCACTGTGTGCCTGACACACCTGCTTTGAGACAACTAACTGCTATTCAATCTATAACCATGAAAAAAGATTTTTGGTTTTTAAATGCACGCTATTGCCAGATAATTCAGGAGAGTGGTGGGCACTGGGCACAGTATCCACTGTGAGCCTGACAATAATCTTCGCTTTGAGACAACTAACTGCTATTCAATCTATAACAGTGAAAAAGTTTTGTTTTTAAATGCAAGCTATTGTGACACCAGTGAGTGAGTGGTGGCACTGGGCAAGTGGGCACAGTATATGTTTCGAGCCTGAAACACAGACGCTTGCAGACAACTAACTGCTATTCAATCTATAACAGGGAAAAAAGTTTTTTGTTTTTAAATGCAAGCTATTATGACACCAGATATGAGTGGCACTGTGAACGGGCACAATATCCACTGTGAGCCTGACACACCCGCTTTGAGACAACTAATTGCTATTCAATCTATAACAGTGAAAAAAGTTTTTTGGTTCTAAATGCACGCTATTTTGACACCAGATATGAGTGGCACTGTGAACTGGCACAATATCCACTGTGAGCCTGACATACCCGCTTTGAGACAACTAATTGCTATTCAATCTATAACAGTGAAAAAAGTTTTTTGGTTTTAAATGCAAGCTATTGTGACACCAGTGAGTGAGTGGTGGCACTGGGCACAGTATCCACTGTGAGCCTGACACACCCCCTTTGAGACAAGTAACTGCAATTCAATCTATAACAGTGAAAAAAGTTTTTTGGTTTTAAATGCACGCTAATATGACACCAGATATGAGTGGCACTGTGAACTGGCACAGTATCCACTGTGAGCCCGACACACCTGCTTTGAGACAACTAACAGTGAAAAAAGTTTTTTGGTTTTAAATGCAAGCTCTTGTGACACCAGTGAGTGAGTGGTGGCACTGGGCAAGTGGGCACAGTATACGTTGCGAGCCTGACACACAGACGCTTGCAGACAACTAACTGCTATTCAATCTATACCAGTGAAAAAAAATTTTGGTTTTTAAAATCAAGCTATTGTGACACCAGTGAGTGAGTTGTGGCACTGGGCACAGTATCCACTGTGAGCTTGACACACCCCCTTTGAGACAACTAACTGATATTCAATCTATAACAGTGAAAAAAGTTTTTTGGTTTTAAATGCAAGCTATTGTGACACCAGTGAGTGAGTGGTGGCACTGGGCACAGTATCCACTGTGAGCCTGACACACCAGCTTTGAGACAACTAACTGCTATTCAATCTATAACAGTGAAAAAAGTTTTTTGTTTTTAAATGCAAGCTATTGTGACACCAGTGAGTGAGTGGTGGCACTGGGCACAGTATCCACTGTGAGCCTGACACACCTGCTTTGAGACAACTAACTGCTATTCAATCTATAACCATGAAAAAAGATTTTTTGTTTTTAAATGCACGCTATTGTGACACCAGTGAGTGAGTGGTGGCACTGGGCACAGTATCCACTGTGAGCCTGACACACCCGCTTTGAGACAACTAACTGCTATTCAATCTATAACAGTGAAAAAAGTTTTTTGTTTTTAAATGCAAACTATTGTGACACCAGTGAGTGAGTGGTGGCACTGGGCACAGTATCCACTGTGAGCCTGACACACCCGCTTTGAGACAACTAACTGCTATTCAATCTGTAACAGTGAAAAAAGTTTTTTGGTTTTAAATGCAAGCTATTGTGACACCAGTGAGTGAGTGGTGGCACTGGGCACAGTATCCACTGTGAGCCTGGCACACCCACTTTGAGACAACTAACTGCTATTCAATCTATAACAGTGAAAAAAGTTTTTGGGCTTTAAATACAAGCTATTGTGACACCAGTGAGTGAGTGGTGGCACTGGGCACAGTATCCACTGTGAGCCTGACACACCCGCTTTGAGACAACTAACTGCTATTCAGTCTATAACAGTGAAAAAAGTTTTTTGTTTTTAAATGCAAGCTATTGTGACACCAGTGAGTGAGTGGTGGCACTGGGCACAGTATCCACTGTGAGCCTGACACACCCGCTTTGGGACAACTAACTGCTATTCAATCTATAACAGTGAAAAAAGTTTTTTATTTTTAAATGCAAGCTATTGTGACACCAGTGAGTGAGTGGTGGCACTGGGCAAGTGGGCACAGTATATGTTTCGAGCCTGAAACACAGACGCTTGCAGACAACTAACTGCTATTCAATCTATAACAGTGAAAAAAGTTTTGTTTTTAAATGCAAGCTATTGTGACACCAGTGAGTGAGTGGTGGCACTGGGCAAGTGGGCACAGTATATGTTTCGAGCCTGAAACACAGCCGCTTGCAGACAACTAACTGCTATTCAATCTATAACAGGGAAAAAAGTTTTTTGTTTTTAAATGCAAGCTATTATGACACCAGATATGAGTGGCACTGTGAACGGGCACAATATCCACTGTGAGCCTGACACACCCGCTTTGAGACAACTAATTGCTATTCAATCTATAACAGTGAAAAAAGTGTTTTGTTTTTAAATGCAAGCTATTGTGACACCAGTGAGTGAGTGGTGGCACTGGGCACAGTATCCACTGTGAGCCTGACACACCTGCTTTGAGACAACTAACTGCTATTCAATCTATAACCATGAAAAAAGATTTTTGGTTTTTAAATGCACGCTATTGTGACACCAGTGAGTGAGTGGTGGCACTGGGCACAGTATCCACTGTGAGCCTGACACACCCGCTTTGAGACAACTAACTGCTATTCAATCTATAACAGTGAAAAAAGTTTTTTTTTTTTTAAATGCAAGCTATTGTGACACCAGTGAGTGAGTGGTGGCACTGGGCAAGTGGGCACAGTATATGTTTTGAGCCTGAAACACAGACGCTTGCAGACAACTAACTGCTATTCAATCTATAACAGTGAAAAAAGTTTTTTGTTTTTAAATGCAAGCTATTATGACACCAGATATGAGTGGCACTGTGAACTGGCACAATATCCACTGTGAGCCTGACACACCCGCTTTGAGACAACTAACTGCTATTCAATCTATGACAGTGAAAAAAGTTTTTTGGTTTTAAATGCAAGCTATTGTGACACCAGTGAGTGAGTGGTGGCACTGGGAACAATATCCACTGTGAGCCTGACACACCTGCTTTGAGACAACTAACTGCTATTCAATCTATAACAGTGAAAAATGTTTTTGGGTTTTTAAATGCAAGCTATTGTGACACCAGTGAGTGAGTGGTGGCACTGGGCGCAGTATCCACTGTGAGCCTGACACACCCCCTTTAAGGACACTGACTGCTATTCAATCTATAACAGTGAAAAATGTTTTTTGTTTTTAAATGCAAGCTATTGTGACACCAGTGAGTGAGTGGTGGCACTGGGCACAGTATCCACTGTGAGCCTGACATACCTGCTTTGAGACAACTAACTGCTATTCAATCTATAACAGTGAAAAAAGTTTTTTGGTTTTTAAATGCACGCTATTGTAACACCAGTGAGTGAGTGGTAGCACTGGGCACAGAATCCACTGTGAGCCTGACACACCCGCTTTGAGACAACTAACTGCTATTCAATCTATAACAGTGAAAAACCTTTTTTTGTTTTTAAAAGCAAGCTATTATGACACCAGATATGAGTGGCACTGTGAACTGGCACAATATCCACTGTGAGCCTGACACACCTGCTTTGAGACAACTAACTGCTATTCAATCTATAACAGTGAAAAAGGTTTTTGGGTTTTAAATGCAAGCTATTGTGACACCAGTGAGTGAGTGTTGGCACTGGGCACAGTATCCACTGTGAGCCTGACACACCCCCTTTGAGACAAGTAACTGCTTTTCAATCTATAACAGTGAAAAAAGTTTTTGGGTTTTAAATGCAAGCTATTGTGACACCAGTGAGTGAGTGGTGGCACTGGGAACAGTATCCACTGTGTGCCTGACACACCTGCTTTGAGACAACTAACTGCTATTCAATCTATAACCATGAAAAAAGATTTTTGGTTTTTAAATGCACGCTATTGTGACACCAGTGAGTGAGTGGTGGCACTGGGCACAGTATCCACTGTGAGCCTGACACACCCGCTTTGAGACAACTAACTGCTATTCAATCTATAACAGTGAAAAAAGTTTTGTTTTTAAATGCAAGCTATTGTGACACCAGTGAGTGAGTGGTGGCACTGGGCAAGTGGGCACAGTATATGTTTCGAGCCTGAAACACAGACGCTTGCAGACAACTAACTGCTATTCAATCTATAACAGGGAAAAAAGTTTTTGTTTTTAAATGCAAGCTATTATGACACCAGATATGAGTGGCACTGTGAACGGGCACAATATCCACTGTGAGCCTGACACACCCGCTTTGAGACAACTAATTGCTATTCAATCTATAACAGTGAAAAAAGTTTTTTGGTTCTAAATGCACGCTATTTTGACACCAGATATGAGTGGCACTGTGAACTGGCACAATATCCACTGTGAGCCTGACATACCCGCTTTGAGACAACTAATTGCTATTCAATCTATAACAGTGAAAAAAGTTTTTTGGTTTTAAATGCAAGCTATTGTGACACCAGTGAGTGAGTGGTGGCACTGGGCACAGTATCCACTGTGAGCCTGACACACCCCCTTTGAGACAAGTAACTGCAATTCAATCTATAACAGTGAAAAAAGTTTTTTGGTTTTAAATGCACGCTAATATGACACCAGATATGAGTGGCACTGTGAACTGGCACAGTATCCACTGTGAGCCCGACACACCTGCTTTGAGACAACTAACAGTGAAAAAAGTTTTTTGGTTTTAAATGCAAGCTCTTGTGACACCAGTGAGTGAGTGGTGGCACTGGGCAAGTGGGCACAGTATACGTTGCGAGCCTGACACACAGACGCTTGCAGACAACTAACTGCTATTCAATCTATAACAGTGAAAAAAAATTTTTGTTTTTAAAATCAAGCTATTGTGACACCAGTGAGTGAGTTGTGGCACTGGGCACAGTATCCACTGTGAGCTTGACACACCCCCTTTGAGACAACTAACTGATATTCAATCTATAACAGTGAAAAAAGTTTTTTGGTTTTAAATGCAAGCTATTATGACACCAGATATGAGTGACACTGCGAACTGGCACTGTATCCACTGTGAGCCTGACACACCCGCTTTGAGACAACTAACTGCTATTCAATCTATAACAGTGAAAAAAGTTTTTTGGTTTTAAATGCAAGCTATTGTGACACCAGTGAGTGAGTGGTGGCACTGGGCACAGTATCCACTGTGAGCCTGACACACCCGCTTTGAGACAACTAACTGCTATTCAATCTATAACAGTGAAAAAAGTTTTTTGGTTTTTAAATGCAAGCTATTGTGACACCAGTGAGTGAGTGGTGGCACTGGGCACAGTATCCACTGTGAGCCTGACACACCCGCTTTGAGACAACTAACTGCTATTCAATCTATAACAGTGAAAAAAGTTTTTTGTTTTTAAATGCAAGCTATTGTGACACCAGTGAGTGAGTGGTGGCACTGGGCAAGTGGGCACAGTATATGTTTCGAGCCTGAAACACAGACGCTTGCAGACAACTAACTGCTATTCAATCTGTAACAGGGAAAAAAGTTTTTTGTTTTTAAATGCAAGCTATTATGACACCAGATATGAGTGGCACAGTGAACGGGCACAATATCCACTGTGAGCCTGACACACCCGCTTTGAGACAACTAATTGCTATTCAATCTATAACAGTGAAAAAAGTTTTTTGTTTTTAAATGCAAGCTATTGTGACACCAGTGAGTGAGTGGTGGCACTGGGCAAGTGGGCACAGTATATGTTTCGAGCCTGAAACACAGACGCTTGCAGACAACTAACTGCTATTCAATCTATAACAGGGAAAAAAGTTTTGTTTTTAAATGCAAGCTATTGTGACACCAGTGAGTGAGTGGTGGCACTGGGCAAGTGGGCACAGTATATGTTTCGAGCCTGAAACACAGACGCTTGCAGACAACTAACTGCTATTCAATCTATAACAGGGAAAAAAGTTTTTGTTTTTAAATGCAAGCTATTATGACACCAGATATGAGTGGCACTGTGAACGGGCACAATATCCACTGTGAGCCTGACACACCCGCTTTGAGACAACTAATTGCTATTCAATCTATAACAGTGAAAAAAGTTTTTTGTTTTTAAATGCAAGCTATTGTGACACCAGTGAGTGAGTGGTGGCACTGGGCACAGTATCCACTGTGAGCCTGACACACCTAAGCTGAGACAACTAACTGCTATTCAATCTATAACCATGAAAAAGATTTTTTTTTGGTTTTAAATGCAAGCTATTTTGACACCAGTGAGTGAGTGGTGGCACTGGGCACAGTATCCACTGTGAGCCTGACACACCCGCTTTGAGACAACTAACTGCTATTCAATCTATAACAGTGAAAAAAGTTTTTTATTTTTAAATGCAAGCTATTGTGACACCAGTGAGTGAGTGGTGGCACTGGGCAAGTGGGCACAGTATATGTTTCGAGCCTGAAACACAGACGCTTGCAGACAACTAACTGCTATTCAATCTATAACAGGGAAAAAAGTTTTTTGTTTTTAAATGCAAGCTATTATGACACCAGATATGAGTGGCACTGTGAACGGGCACAATATCCACTGTGAGCCTGACACACCCGCTTTGAGACAACTAACTGCTATTCAATCTATAACAGTGAAAAAAGTTTTTTGCTTTTAAATGCAAGCTATTGTGACACCAGTGAGTGAGTGGTGGCACTGGGAACAATATCCACTGTGAGCCTGACACACCTGCTTTGAGACAACTAACTGCTATTCAATCTATAACAGTGAAAAATGTTTTTGGGTTTTTAAATGCACGTTATTGTGACACCAGTGAGTGAGTGGTGGCACTGGGCACAGTATCCACTGTGAGCCTGACACACCCCCTTTGAGACAAGTAACTGCTATTCAATCTATAACAGTGAAAAAGTTTTTTGGTTTTAAATGCACGCTATTATGACACCAGATATGAGTGGCAATGTGAACTGGCACAGTATCCACTGTGAGCCTGACACACCCGCTTTGAGACAACTAACTGCTATTCAATCTATAACAGTGAAAAAAGTTTTTGGTTTTAAATGCAAGCTATTGTGACACCAGTGAGTGAGTGGTGGCACTGGGAACAATATCCACTGTGAGCCTGACACACCTGCTTTGAGACAACTAATTGCTATTCAATCTATAACAGTGAAAAAAGTCTTTTGGTTTTAAATGCAAGCTGTTGTGACACCAGTGAGTGAGTGGTGGCACTGGGCACAGTATCCACTGTGAGCCTGACACACCCCCTTTGAGACAAGTAACTGCAATTCAATCTATAACAGTGAAAAAAGTTTTTTGGTTTTAAATGCACGCTATTGTGACACCAGTGAGTGAGTGGTGGCACTGGGCACAGTATCCACTGTGAGCCTGACACACCCCCTTTGAGACATTTAACTGCTATTCAATCTATAACAGTGAAAAAAGTCTTTTGTTTTTAAATGCAAGCTATTATGACACCAGATATGAGTGGCACTGTGAACTGGCACAGTATCCACTGTGAGCCTGACACAACCGCTTTGAGACAACTAACTGCTATTAAATCTATAACAGTGAAAAAAGTTTTTTGGTTCTAAATGCACGCTATTGTGACACCAGATATGAGTGGC